TGTGATCTGGGAGCAACTCGCTCATACTACAGGGAAAGTGATGTTTAGGTTGCTGTGTTCTGCTCTGCACTGCAATTTTGATTCAAAGTCATGCATTGTGGAAATGTTTTAGAATCAGTCTGGTGAAATTTCTGTATACCTGCAGAGACACACCGTGACACCAGTTCTTCTGGTTAGTATTGTTGGCACTAAGAAAGGAACAAAAGACACTACCTGGTGCCAGCCTTTAACTGTTGAGTGGAAAAAAAAAAATCATAGCTTCCTTTCTACTGCTGTAAGATTTTTAAAGGATGCATTGGTCATTACTAATGATGTCACAATATTTTATTATAGGTTACTTACGAAATTGCTGGCGCAATAGAAAAAAATAAAGATTCCCTTTCACAAAATCTCGTATTTGTAATGAAAAGTAAGTAAATGGTTTTGTGGTTGCTGTTGTTAGAAATCAAGACATTATGACTTGACTCTAATTTTCAATTAGTTCTAAGACAAATTTATGGATATTTTATTTACAGTAAAAATATCTAATCTTTTTGAAGTATGCATGCATTGTTTAAATTTTGCTCTAATTTAGAAAGCTTTTAGAATTCATGAACATAAAGGATCTTCATCATGTGATGTGATGTAAAGAACAAGAAGGTATAGTGTGATAGATGAGCATGACTTAAAGAAATCATCGAGTATTAATTAAAACAAATTATTAAACCCCATAAAATAGGGAAAGGAAATAAGGCTCCCAAAATCATAGCAGCTGCAGTGGGATGTACTTCACTGCTTCAGTACCTGTCTAAAATCAGGAACTTGTGGGCGTTCTTGTTTTTCAGTGAATAGATACAAATGTCCATTGAAATACAAAATTAAATACCTTTCCCTGTGCCTGTTGTATAATTGTGCCTAATAATAATGCATCACAGATTATTCATTAATGATTCATAATTAGATTATTAAAAACCTCTATCCTTTATCCTTTCTGTGAAGAAAACCAAAACATTTTCCTCAGGGAAAGCTTACTGTATCCTGAGATGTTATCTTTCTTTTCTCCAACCACTGCAGAGTCTTTCACTTAATAGATTATGTTTCTTTCCATAGAAATAGAGGTATTTTGGAGGTCACATTTGTCTTCCAAATCAGCCCCACTGTTATGATGTATTGTTTTTTAGCAATTTTACTGTGAAATTAGCTAAACTCCCTAGTAAAATAATTGATGCATTTTAAAGGCAAGCAGTGTACATTAAGGATGAAGAAAAAAATGGAAGAATTGATCTTGAATATAATCCTATTGATTATAGCTTTAGAGACATTCCAGTTCTCACTACTTGGAATTTCCATGATAATCTGCCAAAGAGTATAAAAAGGTATGGCAAGTTCCAGTGTGTTCTACAAGAGAGAACATTCTTCTGTTCCCTCACACAGTCTCCTTTTGCACTTTCTTTGCTATTTTGTGTAATCAGCTATGCAACTGTTAAAAGGGAAGAATGGAGGATTGGAAAATGTTTCATATGCTGAGAGTATATATTTAATTAAGAATCATAATAATAATTATAATTAATGGAAAAATTCTGAAGGCAGAATACTTACAAGCATGTAAGTCATTTAAGGGCTACATTCCTTTTTTTTTAATTTAGGCTTTTTGATTTAGGCTTAAAAACTATTGATTGTCAGTGACATATTTCCTTTAGGATCAGTTTCATAAGTCATGTAGACATATACCTTAAGTGCATGCTTCCTTTGATTTTCATTGAATTTACTTTCCTCAGTCAAAACTTTTAAGTATGTGAACAACAGTCAAGTAATTTGCATATGGGTGTAAGAATGTGGAACATATCTGTCCGACAAATAAATTAGGAGACACTATTGACATAGGTTTTATCTGTTTTAATTTGAAGGACGTAATTTTAATGCCTTCCCTAATGCTACTTAATACATTTATCCACATTTTAAAAATATGGAAAATTATTATGTCCAATGATTGTGCTGAAATTGTTTAAGGTATCTGCTTTACTATCTTCCTCATAATTTTATTACTCCTTTTAAGTAAGGAATAGTAATCTCCACAGAAAAAAGAAAAACTCTATTGCATTTAAGCATCTAGCAAATATATCTTTAAACAGCTAAAAAAGAGCAAACTGAGGATTACTACTTGCTATGCTAAACTTATTGACACTATTTATGATTCTCATCCCATTCATCTTTCTGTTTTTTTGTTTTTATTCACGTGATGGGTGTGATCAAAATGCCAGTTTGTTAGTTCTTTAAAAAATGTAATAAAAATTAAGGATGGTTAAGGATGTATCACACAATAGTTTTTTAACACTTATTGGTGCTGTGGCAGTACAAGTAGTGTGTAACTACCGTGTTCATCTTGAAAAGCCTATGACCATAATCTCATAAAGGTTAATTTGACTGAAATTAGTATAAATATCGTCTCTGTCTTAAAATTCATATTTTTATTTTTGAAAGCACCTCTTGGAAATGTATTTGCTTTGTACTAATTATGACCACTGCATCATACGTATGTATGACATTGTCTTTTTTCTGTAAATGTTCATAAGTGTGTTCTTGATGTAGAGAAATGTAAACCCAGCTTGCTACAGTTCTGTCCTTCACCTTGACTTTTTTTTTTCATTCCTTCCCATATTATGTTTTATATAATTCTCTTTCTTTGGTGCAGTAAGTGTCTATAATTTATTTCTGACAAGTGCCTTGATAATTTCTAAATACTATATGTTAGGTAAATGTTGTGCAGAATGCATCTCTTATGTTGCTTTAATAGACTGAAAAATTGGAAGTCTGTAATGGAATAAAATTCAGAGGTGATTATCACATAAGTAATTACATTTAGACAGATCACAGTCTGAAAGGTTTTGTTTCCTGCCCTGTCTTGTTCAGCACAGGACACGAATATGTTTTAAAATAGTGTTACTGATGGCTGACACCCTTAGATATTGAGTGCTGTTTGATAACTAACACAATGTAGTAATTTATTGGTTTGTCCAGTTGGTTTATGTTTACTTATTCTATCTCCTATTGTATATTTTTTTCCTTCCCAATACAATATATATAATTTTCTAACCTGTATTTTATTTTCATGCATTAATTTCTTCTTCTTTCCCAGCCAGCGAAAATGTAGTCATCAATCAATTGTTCCAGTCCAAGATGACACAAACTGGATCACTTGTTCCTCCATATCATTCCCTTAAAATCAAAGGCTGTAAAGCAGCTTTGCTGAGTAAAAAACTGTCAGTAGCCTGTGCAAGTGGAGAAGCAAAGAAATATATGGAGCTCAGCAAAGTAAGAATTTAGGACTCTTTCTACTCTTTGCTCCTTGTAGATTTTTCTCAGTTACTTTGTCATTTCTGAAATCTCCTTGTTCTCTTCTTTATTCTCTGCTGTCATTAAACTATTAAAATAATCTAGTGCTTAATGTCAGCATAAAAGCAACAGTGAGAGCAGGTTATAATTTACTAACACTAATAATGCTGTTTCAAGGACCTCTTTCTTGGACTCTGGGCAGGAGGTTGAGTGAGATGATGGGCTGCCTTTGATCCTGAATCATTCCATGATTTTGTGGTTCCAGGGCTTAGCAGTGGATGCAGTATTACTGATTTTTGGCTGTGTACTAACACTTCTTTGTTTTGTCTCCTTGGCTGACTTTATGATGAATAGTTAAGTAAATTAAGACATAGGAAGCACAAATATAAAACCTCAGTGTCTTTAGTGTGTTAAACTGAGAAGATTTCTGATTTGCAAAAGACAGTTCTTGTGGTTTTGTATGACAATCAACCCTGTAATTTTTGGAAAATGTTATTTTAAATGGTCACCTGCATGTAAATTTTCCCAGTCGATTTGAAATCAAATCAAACGCTCCCCATTTCTGAACTTGTCTCTTTTTCTTCTAGCTAAGTCAGACAAAAAAAGGTTTTTTTTAAAAAAAGGGAGACAGGGTAGAAACTTGGGATGCTATCAGAAAATTAATTGTTCATGTGACATGGGACATCTCTCTCTTGAGAAGAAACAACATGATTTGCTGAGTCCGTTCTTGACAGAGCTTTGGAATTCCTCCTTCTTCTAGAAAAGAAGCAAGCAGTTCTCACAATTCATCAGCTGCCTCACCAGGCCTCTTGAGTCTTACAACTCTATTTTTGGCTTACAGCTGCATAAAATTGATTCTGTCATGGAATTAAGGAGCCTGTTCTCATGTGTCATTGTGGAAGGCTTTATGCAAGTAAATCCATAGAATAGCAATGGGAGTTTCCTTATAGCTCCCCTGCTGATAGTAGCGTAATTCCTGTCTACTGTTCTTGTCAGTAATTTCAGTGGAAAAACTTGAGTCGAAGTGAATAGTGTTGGTTTAAGGCTATATTTAGCAAACAGCTGAGGCATCACAAGGTGCCTTTAGGTGCCTTTCCACTATAGTAACAGCTTCCTAGAGGAAGCTTCCTAACACTGTGAAAAAGATCCTAGTCCCATACATGGAAGGAAGTATGAAAGGCACGTCTAAGTTAGAAGCCTAAGAAAGCCCAGGGGAAACACCACACAGCTGGGATCTCTGAAACTATGAGATTTCTGACCAGTCCAGAATAGCTTCTAACCTGGAGTTACCCTCTTGAGACATAGAAGATATATTCGAATTCCTTTGGGAAGTGTGATAAATTAAGTCAGAAATTCTAGGTTCAGTGACAATGCTCTAGTCTTTTAGCTATTAGATGGAAGGTGGGAAGAACTTCATCCTTTGTCTGCCCACAGAGACAAGAATGGCTTGGGTTCTCAAAGGTAGGCTTTGAGAAGAGCTGCATAGGTGAGACAGAACGCTACTTAGTTTGTAGATACTAAATTGGCCTAATTTGAGCAAGGTACTGTGCTGCCCTGCAGGACGGAAGCAGAACTTTAGGTATCTAAGCTGCTCCAGTGGCAAAAAAAGAGACACTTGTTATTTTGGAATAGGCACCTGATGCAAGAGCTGGAAGTAGGTAAGTGCTTAAATTGTTTTGTGGATCAAGACCACATCTGTAAATGTGCTGTTCCAAATAATTCTGTGCCTTCTCCAGTCTAGCACTGAAAATCCACTGTGATGGTCTGGAATAATCTTTGTTTTGTTGTTTTTTTTTTATTTTTATTGTAATTGGGACTGCAATATAAGGGGCATTTTAATATCAGTTTAGAACTAAAATTGCTATATGCTGGAAAATCATAACCACTGCATTTTTACTGGAGTTCATCCTGAAGATAAAGGCAATAAATAGAAAAAAAAAGAAATGTCGGGGTGGGGGGGAGAAAGAGGGACATTAAGGCAAGAATTATCAACCAGACTCTAGCATTCCTTTTATATCTGAAATTTGGGTTGTAACATACATCAAACTGTAGGCAGTGAGAAATGCAAAATGGAAGGCGTTCATGTTGCCTGTCTGTGGGTAGTCATCTAGATTCCACTGTATCCAGGAAAGAGAAGTAGACACTTCAGAGGTCAGACAGGAGTTTGTTATGATTCCCCTCCCCTTTCAGCTTCTCATCTGCTACTTGCTAGGTTATATAATTATAGATTTCTCTATCTATGGACATGTATCTACCTGTTTACTTTTCCATAAATGATAAGGTTGATTTTGAGCATGCCGTAACAGCTAAGGATGGGCTGCCTCTTTAAGCTTACCACTCTACTTGTAGTAGGGTCCAAGGGAACAGTACTTCCATCCTAAGATAGACGTGAGCAGCTCAAATAGCTGGACAGAATTCTGGAGCATGTAAGGAGTCATAGGAATCTGGGGATGCAAGCTCGAGTCTCTGGCTTATGAAGACCATGTCGCCTTTTCGAATAAAATAGAATATATCTTCATTGATACTTTCACAACTCTCTTTTGCTCACATCAGCTCCTTCTCCCTTATTTTTCTGTAGTCTTTTCCTAGTGCATACTTTGGCCCTGTTGCCTTCCCCTCACTTCCTCTGGAAGAATCAGTGGGTTTCAGAGTTCATGTAGCAGCAGTCTCGTCACATGAATGCCCATCACTAACAGAAGGCATTTCTTTCCATTGGCTTTACGTTGTTTCTCTTTTCAATGAACTTTTTTTTTCATTGTCTGTTAGTTAAGAACTCATCTATTGCAAAGCTTTTAGTGTGTCTTCTTTAAAATATTCTGCTGGTAAAGAGAGATTTTTTAGGAGGAGGTTTTGGGTTCTTAACAGAGATTACAAAGTTACATATATGTATTTTTTTCTCTAGATTAGAGGTACAAGATTTTCCAATGTAAAGCTGTATGTTAAAGGGTAATAGAGATACTTCCATGATACAGTCTTGTTCCTTAGCTCATAGCTGAAGATGCTCAAGTTTGGAGAGTTTGAATTAAATTCATTTTTTTATCTTAGCCTTGTTTCCTTTCTTTTCTCTCCCTCATTCTGAACCAAACGTTTCTTTCCCATGGGAAGAAGTATGCAACATAGAACAGCAGGCAGGAGCTTTAGCATCCAAAGCATTGTTCCTGGCACTTCCACTAACTCAGGAAATGGTCTTGAACTAGTGACTTAATCATTTGGGAGGAAGTGGTGAGTGCATTACCTGTCAAGTGGAGAAAACTATTTTAGTTATATTCCTCAAGCATTTTGTAAACTTTAACTGAGAAGTGTCATTGACATGCTAGTGGTTCCTTTTATGAGAAGATGTAGAGCAAGCAGATCTCTTTTACTTTTCTGGTTTGAAGTTGGGGATGAGTTTGCCTTTAAAGTTTTATTGCATCCTAGTAAGTGGGACTTGAAATTAAAAAAGAGCTCCAAAGTTTGGCACAGTAGAGAATTGCTTGCACTGCAATATTTTTAATGGAGTTTGGCTTGAGTGGGCCAAGTTGAGGAAATGTACATTTTTTTGTTGCAACAGGAAAAATACAGGGGTAGGCTAGAACATGCTGAGTTGATAGAAAGGGAATTTTATGGGGTAAGCGGATTATAGACAGGCAATTAAAAAAAGTCAGAGGTGAAAAAGCTGTCATTGATACAGAGATTTGAATCTAACAGCTTGGCCAAATACTGGAATGCAATAATTTTGCCAGCCCTCCTGTAAAAATTTAACAAAAGCACCTAATTTCTAGGACCACTTTTAGGATGATCATTGCCATTTTAGTCACAAAGATAGGAAGTAGGACAGTAAAAAATAAATTTGTTCCCCAATTCCAACTCTGATGTATGGGATAACATTAGTTCTAATGAGATATGAAGTTCTTGATAATTTATGGCTATCATGGGTGAAAATGGGTTAAAAAAAGAAAAAAAGGTTAACTGCATTCACTTGTGCAGGAACAAAAGAGAAGGGGTTTTTTAATATTAGTATTATTGTTTTGCCCTCAAGATTTTTTTAATGATCTGTGCTTACATTTATTCACTTAAGCAGCTGCCAAAGACTTAAGAAACCTTTTCAGAGAGTTAGAGAATTATGCTACTTACAGGCAGGCTGTATGGGATACTGGCTGCACAAATCCTGCTTCTGCAATGGAGTTCCAGATCATATTGTTTTGCCCAGCTATTTGGAAAAGGTATTTTATCTTTCTAATGGTAAACAGCTGCTTTTGAAATTAAAATTTTCTTACCAGTCATGACTTAACAGATACTTGAGGATATTTATACACTTTCCCAATTAATTCTGAAACTTAAATAATTGTCTGTGGCATATTATTTGTATAAATGTTTGGCTTTGTTAGTAAATTGTATAACAATAAAATGAAGGTTTACTGCCCATCCTGAGATAAAGATATTGTGCGTGTGCTTTTCTCTCCAACAGCTGTTGAAAAAGAAAGGAACATCCTCGTTTCTTCAGAGACTGGAACGAGGGGGCCCAACCACTGTGGCAATACAGCTCAGGGTTAGTGAACATCTTCTGAACAGAAATTTACACAAAAAACCCCAACAAACAAACAAACAGACAAAAACATTTTAAAGGCAGTATTAGTATCATATGCTTGAGAAAGCCATTTGCATGGCCAGATCAAGCCTTTTGAGAAAATGATATTAAAAAGTTAGGAAGAGCATACATGTTGAGCAATTGCCTTTGCTGCACAATGATTGATAACTGATTTTTTTTTCCACAGAAATCACTCACAGATATTATTGGGAAGCTTCAGAACTGCACATCACATTTTGTTCATTGTATAAAGCCTAATAACTCCAAGTTGCCAGATACTTTTGACAATTTTTATGTGTCTGCTCAACTGCAGTATATTTATGTCCTAGAGATGGTCAAAATCATACGACATGGATATCCAGTACGTCTCTCTTTCACAGACTTCTTGTCAAGGTAAATTCTTTTAAGTTTCATAAAAAGTTTTTCTTACCTACAGTACAAAACCTTCTGTCATGTTCTGGTAATGCTTGAAGTGTTGTTTTGATGATAAGCCTTTCAGACTTTCTTCAGAGAAAAATCATGTCTGCCAGCAAAGGGTGTAGGCTTGTTGGTTTTTAATTGAAGGAATCATGAACTTTGTGGAAATATATTTAGAAAGATCATCAGCAAAATGTATTAGATTTAAAAATATAACTTCATAAAATAGTTTCATTTTTATAATTTATGCTATTTGTATGATTTATAAAATAAAAAATATTGCATGCTGTCTCCAGGTATTTAAAAAGCAGAAGGAGAAATAGTCTTAAATTTCAAGTTTAGGTGTCATGGGTTCTATATTTGTATTTCATATGCTAGGATTTTTTATTCATGGTGATGAATTATTAATGCTCACACCACAACTCCATTTTTATTATTGTTGTTAGAAATTAGTGAAATTTTGAATTAGTGTGAAAAGACAAAAAGATATTTGTCACTGGTTGTGGGTGAAGGCAAACTCTTCTCCCCCATCCCCAATTCAAAATCCAATGAGGATTTTGGCTCATTTACATTCTGAAATGCTTCAGCAAAGAAAGAGCACCATCATGTCCAAGAGATGTTCATTTAGCAGCCTCATGCACCCAACACACGTTCCTCCTCTTGGCATGTTCTACTCCTTGACTGATATACCAAGCAGTCATCATCTGGCCTGTGTACTATTTTACTTCTGAAAAACAGCAGGGGAATATCAGCTGCTTACACACATCTAAACTGTCAGTTGCCTACCTGGAAAAAGCTGTGGATGTTAAATTACTGCTTGATCATAGTCATATTCTCTCTGGCAATTCTGTAAATATTCACAAAGTGCAGGAGTATAGGAGTTTATAATCCCACGTGTTTCGAAAGTAAGCCATCTCTGTCCTACCACGATATTCATCCTGCAGCATGAATCCAGAATTGCAGGCTGGTTGAGGAGAAGATGCAGATCATGGCAGATTTGGATAGAACAGGCTGCTTTCATATTTGGAAGTGGTAGGGGCAATCTCTATGTAGCCATTCCTATATTACTGAATTGAACAGTTCAAGAGACTATAGCATGAGCACAAAAGCACAATCTTTTCTACTTACAGTCCTTACATTTCCTAGCAGGGATTTCGTCCTTGCCATCTAGCTTTTCTCACTGCTATTCTCAGGTACAGATTGGGAGTTAGCACAGGCCTGGGACAATTCCTGGTGGGCGGTGTGGACGTAGCTGCTCTCTTTTGGAGGATAAAAGAGAGTAACTATAAGTACAAAGGTAATTTTATTCAGTTAGCTTCGGTGCTGGAGAATGGTACCATGCATGTTCATTCTTAACAGTATAGGCCTGAGTCTGGAATGTTGTATTTTTTGGAGAAACTTTATTTTAAAATATCACTAAAAGAATATTTGAAGATTCAAATATAATTTCAGTCTTTTTCCTCCACTCCTTGAACTACATCCCAAACACTAATTTTTACCTAAAAGTCTGGAGGACAGCTGGTGTCTCACAGTAAATGTATTTTTGCAGTAATGATAGTAAAACAAGAATAGCAAGAAACCGAACAACCTGATGCCAGAAACATTTATGTCATAATTTTAAAGTGTTCTAGTTTAGTTACTGTCCACCTTTATCCTTTTTTTTTTCCACAATAAGTTACCTTTATGGGTTCTTTGCAGCTGAGCCCCTTTCTTTTTACTTGTTTGCACCAGGTCCTAATAATTGTAGTATTATACATAAAATTAATCAAACAGTGGTGGGACTACCATGGTATCACTGAAGTCCATTTTATAATATTCCCTGTGAATATATGTTTTATCTACTCAGATGTTAATAATAATCACTCTGCATACATTTCATGACACTGCTGATTTTTAAATTTGTGTACAAATAGGAACACAGGCCTCTTGTCCCAGTGGAATTGCAAGAAAGGATCAGCATTGTAAGGCTTTTTACAGTAGCCGTTACTGTCACACAGGCCAAAGCTTGTCTTACTTTGAACAGCAGAACCTACTAATTCTTCACTTTACTCATCATGAACGGTTAACCTTCATATTCACATTCACTGTATTTGGATAATTCTTTTCATTTCAAATAGTGCAAGTGTGTGGCTATTTGTTCTGTTATTGGCTGAAAAGTGCAAAATTTTTAAGCAGAAATTAGAGTATTAGATAGCAGTTCAAAAATACTGTCAACTCTCAATCCTGTATTATTTTTAGCCAATACACTACAGGTAAGAAAGTGTAAAGAATTGTTGAATTCAGAGATTATGAACTACCTTTTCAAGAAGTCTTCTGAAAAACTGTCACTTGTATTAGATTGCTATATTGCCTCAGTGACTGAACAGAATGGTTTTGGAAACCAGATAATTTGTTTTGGCAATGTTCTTGTAAACTGGATTTACTTTGTTGGTTGTTCAGCCTAACTCTGGTCTTGTCCTCCTATTCATTGATTGGAATGATTTTGTCGGATTTACATGTATGCTTATAGACCTGAAGTTGATAGACTTTCTCACCTTTAAATTTTTTATTTCTTTTGTGTCAAACTGGTATTTCTAGTGTTATAATACTTGGGAAAAAAGTTTCTTCTCTATTTCTTCAGTTATTTTTCCTCCATCATGGCTCTTCTACTTCTTTTGCATGGTTCCGAATGGTGATTTCCAGCCTCTATGTGGGAAGCAATGGTTGCCCTGGTATGCATTTGAGCGCAGGCACTGAGCTACTGAGTGCAGTGGCTTTCCAAGAGCTGCTTCTTGCAGAACAGTCATGATGCTGCAAAGGAGTCTAAACCTATCTCTCTTCTCTTCAAGTTACAAAAGAGAGAAAAAATTACGTCAAATTTAATTAGGATCCCTCTGTCTGAAACCAATAAATACAAATACCGTACAAACAGGGAGAATATAAAATGTCAGTTCTAACAAGTAGTGATTGCAACAGGTCACGATGATACTGGTGTGCATGTGAACAGACTCCATTCTGAGCTATCCTGGAACCAAGACGAAAAGGGGAAAAAAAAACAAACCAAAACAAAACAAAAAAGCAAACAGAAAAACTATTGCTCTAGATAGAGACAGATAGTTAGAGGCTTCATTAAAACCTCACAAGTAAGGAAGGATGATGAGCTGGAGTAGAATCTGAAAGACAATGAAGGCTTGCTGATTACCTTCAAGTACAGAAACATATATCAACTGATAGAGCCCCCACTTTCTGTGTAGTATTTTCACATCTCGAAGGAACCATCATACACAGAAGCTCATGGATAAAATACAGCTTCTATCACAGTGAATGAAGATTATGTCATTTTATTTTCATTTTTGGGGTGGTTTGATTTTTTTTTACAGTAGGGAATAGATGCATGTGTTTCATATTATGCTGATTATACTGAGGTGGGGGGGCAGAAACATAAGCAAAGACAACACAGGGAAAGATGGAGGAATTGCTCTTTATTCAGTGTAGGAAGCTGTAAAAAAGTGAATGCTCTTACCAAGTGCTATTACAGGGCTATGAAAGTTTAGCCTCCCCATGGCTTGCCCCAAGAGGCAAAGGAATTACTCCCCCTTACTCTGGGGAGAAAGACTTTGACAGCTGACAACAGGAAAACACAAAGGGAGGAAGAAAACAGACTATTTCCATCTGTCAATGGTGGATGCATCTGAGAATAATTATAATAAATAACCTTTATTTTTTCTTGAATGTTTTTGAGAAATGGAAATATAAGTAATAGAAATATAAGTAATTTTTACTTTATTCTGTCATGCTCTGCTGTGTCCTTTTTTGTAAATCCTGAAAACTAGTAAGGACTCTTGATTTTCAGGCAGGTTTTTGCTTTTGTAGGGGAGGGTTTCCTTCCCATTTAAGTCATGCTAACTAGCAATTTGACCATGTGGCCACAAAGGGGGGAAAACAGGCCAACAGATGTAAAGCACAGGATATCCTGATATAGTTGATAAGTGTGACCCTATGAACTATCAGTGCAAGAATGACAAAACTTACAGGTAGCAAAATGTATCCCCAGACAGGTGCTTCTGACAGTTTTGCCCATAGCTGTAAGATTTTCAGCTTCAGTTTGTGTCTTTGAGTCCTTCTGATGGTCTTGGTTTCAGTGAATGCAGCTGTGGGTCACAGCTTGGCTTAGCTCAGCTGCAAAGTTTTATAGCAAAGATACAAGGAAATATCTTATTTCTAGAGCAGAATGTACTATGCAGTTCTCTCAGGCTTACCTGGCTTGAGAACTGAAGGATATTAATGGTAGGTCTGAAAGCACTGTGCAAAATCAAAGAGATTTTGTGGCCAGACCCCAACTTGAATTCCCAAAAGATAGTGAATGGCTACCCTCCTCCACCATCTCTGCAGCTTTTGTGCATTTACTTTTAGGGTCTTCCTTATTATATAGGTAATGTTGTCAGAGTTAAAAAAATTAATGAAAAATAAAAAACCTTTTTATTTGCTAGCTAACAAAAAAAGGCAGAATGTCTGAATTAGGGGCCTTTGTGGTGAAGGGATAGAGTATTAGAAAACCTGGATATTCTATCACTAATACAGACAGTAGCATTGCTTTCTTAATTGGATGAATTTGAATAAATTTCTGTTAACATCTAATCAGGGATTAATATGACTGGTCTCTAGCATATATTTATGAGTCACATTTGAATCTTACGATGGCTGAAGAAAGACAGTAGCTAAGGAAAGGTCATATTTTGCAAGAGCACTTCTTCCTGGGTTGCGAAGCTTAATCATTATTTCTATTGCTGTCCTTTTTAGATTTACTGGTTCTGCTTCTGTATAATCAAAGTAAAAGTTGACAGCGGCTAGGTGAACCCCTCAATCACCAGAGTTCATTGATCAGAAGAGAAATCTTGTGGAAATTCTGGTTCTTAAATGGAAGCTGTGACAGTTACTGTCAATGAATATATAATAAAAATGTGAATTAATAAGGTCAGATGCTATTAAATTCTGTA